TCATGTTGTAGACTGTGTAACTGTCATGTTGTAGACTGTGTAACTGTCATGTTGTAGACTGTGTAACTGTCATGTTGTAGGCTGTGTAACTGACATGTTGTAGACTGTTTATATGTCATGTTGTAGACTGTGTAACTGACATGTTGTAGACTGTTTATCTGTCATGTTGTAGGCTGTGTAACTGACGTGTTGTAGACTGTGTAACTGACATGTTGTAGACTGTTTATCTGTCATGTTGTAGGCTGTGTAACTGTCATGTTGTAGACTGTGTAGCTGACATGTTGTAGACTGTGTAACTGTCATGTTGTAGACTATGTAACTATCATGTTGTAGACTGTGTAACTGTTTTGTTGTAGGTTGTGTAACTGTCATGTTGTAGACTGTGTAACTGTCATGTTGTAGGCTGTGTAACTGACATGTTGTAGACTGTGTAACTGTCATGTTGTAGACTGTGTAACTGTTTTGTTGTAGGTTGTGTAACTGACATGTTGTAGACTGTTTATCTGTCATGTTGTAGGCTGTGTAACTGTCATGTTGTAGACTGTGTAGCTGACATGTTGTAGACTGTGTAACTGTCATGTTGTAGACTATGTAACTATCATGTTGTAGACTGTGTAACTGTTTTGTTGTAGGTTGTGTAACTGTCATGTTGTAGACTGTGTAACTGTCATGTTGTAGGCTGTGTAACTGACATGTTGTAGACTGTGTAACTGTCATGTTGTAGACTGTGTAACTGTTTTGTTGTAGGTTGTGTAACTGTCATGTAGACTGTGTAACTGTTTGTTGTAGGTTGTGTAACTGTCATGTTGTAGACTGTGTAACTGTCATGTTGTAGGCTGTGTAACTGACATGTTGTAGACTGTGTAACTGTCATGTTGTAGACTGTGTAACTGACATGTTGTAGACTGTAACTGACATGTTGTAGGTTGTGTAACTGTCATGTTGTAGACTGTGTAACTGTCATGTTGTAGACTGTGTAACTGACATGTTGTGGGCTGTGTAACTGACATGTTGTGGGCTGTGTAACTGACATGTTGTAGACTGTGTAACTGTCATGTTGTAGACTGTGTAACTGTCATGTTGTAGACTGTGTAACTGTCATGTTGTAGACTGTGTAACTGTCATGTTGTAGACTGTGTAACTGACATGTTGTAGACTGTGTAACTGTCATGTTGTAGACTGTGTAACTGACATGTTGTAGACTGTGTAACTGTCATGTTGTAGACTGTGTAACTGACATGTTGTAGACTGTGTAACTGACATGTTGTAGACTGTGTAACTGTCATGTTGTAGACTGTGTAACTGTCATGTTGTAGACTGTGTAACTGACATGTTGTAGACTGTGTAACTGACATGTTGTAGACTGTGTAACTGACATGTTGTGGGCTGTGTAACTGACATGTTGTGGGCTGTGTAACTGACATGTTGTAGACTGTGTAACTGACATGTTGTAGGTTGTGTAACTGTCATGTTGTAGACTGTGTAACTGACATGTTGTAGGTTGTGTAACTGTCATGTTGTAGACTGTGTAACTGTCATGTTGTAGGCTGTGTAACTGCCATGTTGTAGACTGTGTAACTGACATGTTGTGGGCTGTGTAACTGACATGTTGTAGACTGTGTAACTGACATGTTGTAGACTGTGTAACTGACATGTTGTAGACTGTGTAACTGACATGTTGTAGACTGTGTAACTGACATGTTGTAGACTGTGTAACTGACATGTTGTAGACTGTGTAACTGACGTGTTGTAGACTGTGTAACTGTCATGTTGTAGACTGTGTAACTGACATGTTGTAGACTGTGTAACTGTCATGTTGTAGACTGTGTAACTGACATGTTGTAGACTGTAACTGTCATGTTGTAGGCTGTGTAACTGACATATTGTAGACTGTGTAACTGACATGTTGTGGGCTGTGTAACTGACATGTTGTAGACTGTGTAACTGACAAGTTGTAGACTGTGTAACTGACGTGTTGTAGACTGTGTAACTGACATGTTGTAGACTGTGTAACTGACGTGTTGTAGACTGTGTAACTGTCATGTTGTAGACTGTGTAACTGACATGTTGTAGACTGTGTAACTGTCATGTTGTAGACTGTGTAACTGACATGTTGTAGACTGTGTAACTGACATGTTGTAGACTGTGTAACTGACATGTTGTAGACTGTGTAACTGACATGTTGTAGACTGTGTAACTGACATGTTGTAGGCTGTGTAACTGACATGTTGTAGGCTGTGTAACTGACATGTTGTAGACTGTGTAACTGACATGTTGTAGACTGTGTAACTGACATGTTGTAGACTGTGTAACTGACATGTTGTAGACTGTGTAACTGACGTGTTGTAGACTGTGTAACTGACATGTTGTAGACTGTGTAACTGACGTGTTGTAGACTGTGTAACTGTCATGTTGTAGACTGTGTAACTGACATGTTGTAGACTGTGTAACTGTCATGTTGTAGACTGTGTAACTGACATGTTGTAGACTGTAACTGTCATGTTGTAGGCTGGTGTAACTGACATATTGTAGACTGTGTAACTGACATGTTGTGGGCTGTGTAACTGACATGTTGTAGACTGTGTAACTGACAAGTTGTAGACTGTGTAACTGACATGTTGTAGACTGTGTAACTGACATGTTGTAGACTGTGTAACTGACGTGTTGTAGACTGTGTAACTGTCATGTTGTAGACTGTGTAACTGACATGTTGTAGACTGTGTAACTGTCATGTTGTAGACTGTGTACTGACATGTTGTAGACTGTGTGTAACTGACATGTTGTAGACTGTGTAACTGACATGTTGTAGACTGTGTAACTGTCATGTTGTAGACTGTGTAACTGTCATGTTGTAGACTGTGTAACTGACATGTTGTAGACTGTGTAACTGTCATGTTGTAGACTGTGTAACTGACATGTTGTAGGCTGTGTAACTGTCATGTTGTAGGCTGTGTAACTGACATGTTGTAGGCTGTGTAGCTGACATATATCGAGATCAGAAACATGAAATATATTGTGAAGACAGGAAGGAGACTCTCACTGACAGTTCATGTTGATTTTAATTATTTGTCAAAATGAGAAAGTTGTTTGTGTGGTGAGTGTTGCTCCGCGACGTCTCGCTCCGCGACGTCTCGCTCCGCAGGCTACTCTCCACACCGCAAAAAAAAAAAAAAAAAACCTACCACACCGTATAATTACACAATATTTTTCTGTGAAGGTTATGTTGATATATTCAGTATATGTAAAGAAAATATTTCCTAGATTTCTCGCTTTTCCTTCCC